AATTATTTATTGTACAGCATTATCTGATGAGGAATCAATTCAAAGTCTTGTGTTTGAACCTACTGTTATTTGGATTTGGATGAGCAATCCATTTGGGGCTGCCCATTAAAAAAGATCCGTGAATGAGTACATATTTATTCTTGCAAGTCTGTTGAACCAGCCAAAGGGTGATGAGAGGTGTGAGGGAAATGGGTGGGGTTTGAGGTGCAGGTGGGACTTACACACATTTGCAATATGCAGATTTTTGGCTTCCACTTGTTGTCAGTACGGCAACACCCAGCCACCCAAGCCACCCACCCTCTCTTTCTCTCTATTTTCATCTTGGATCGATTCCATTGAAAAATGTTTGCTGTCTAGAAACAAAGAGCAAACAAAATGTATCTTCTAGATACACACACACACGCACAAGCAAAATTGGTAAAAATTAAAAAATAAACCCGAAAAAAAATGAAACAAAAGCCGAACGAACGCAAAATTGAAGCCATAAAAGCGATGAAAAGGAAATCAACGAAAATGAAACAAAAAAGAACACGAGATATAAATCTTTGCATGTATCTGAAAGATACATGTACATACAGATATACGTACATAACATATACAAACACACATATGTATGTACATATGTAGGTATGTAGGGATGCATGTACACATTTGTGTACTTATGTATATGTATGTGGTGTGTATGTGGTGTGTATGTACATAATCTGCAATGATCTCTCCAGCTCAGTCTTCTTGATGAAAGAAAAAAGGTCAAATTATTGCGCTCTCTCTATCTCTCTCTCTGTCTGTCTCTCTCTGCCATAAAAGCTACTCACAAAGAGAAAGATAGAGAAAAATTGTTGGGGGGAGAGATGGAGTAAGAGACAAGTCAAAGTCGCAGCTGTTTAGGTAAAGAGACAGCGACAGAGAGAGAAAAAGAGAAAGAAAGATGTATATATGTACGTACGATATGTCTCTACATACATATTTACACATATGCAAATATGTATACTGATATCGGTATGTACATACATAAGTATGTATATATGTATGTATGCATACAAATATTATAACAAATAAATAAATATGAACATAAATACATACATACATATGAACATGGCCAATACATACATATCTGAGGGCCACAACAGAAGCAAAAGAGACGCTACAACCAACGAACCCAAAAAGCAACAGCAACAAGAAGTGAACGATTTTGCTGTAGGCGAAGTATTTAATACACTTCCAGATCTATCGTTCCCATGAAAAATACAAATGGACATTCCCATGGCTGGGTCCACCGAGACCGAAACCTAAAACTCAATTATAGAACATTTCCATATAATTCTGAGCCGATATTTATTGTTTTCTAAATTTACTGAAGCTAATTTAGTTGACTTGACTAACTGACTTATAATTTCATTGGCTCTGATGAGAAAACCTTTGTTTTAAAATTTCCCTTGCGAATAAAATTGTTTTTTGGTCTGGATTGTCTTGAAAGCGAATGTTAAAAAAATATACGAGGCTGGTTAAAATCCGATTTATTTTGATTTGTTTGACTGTAAGGAATTTCTAACGACGTCACCATTGCGATAGATAGATCGTATCCTGCTGTGCATGTACATACATTCAGAATACTCATAGGTACATATGTATTTACATCCATACATACATGTATGTATATGTGTATGTATGTATTTACCTGAGTTGCAAACTTGTGAAACAAAATAATTATGCCCGTGGTGTAAGGGTATGGATCCAACAGCAGTGCAGCGCAGCGCAGCCGAAGGTCGTCGCCGTTTTGTTATTGCTGTTTCTCTGCTTCTGTCGCTGTCGCTGGCAACGCTGACTGCGGCCGCAGCAGAAACACCAACAGCATCGACCGCAGCATAGATTCCACTATGAGAAATTTGAGAAAACTGCATTAAATTTTCGTATATTTCGTACCCACTTTCCCCCCCTTCCCACACCTTTTGCACACACACACACACACGCCGATTGCGTTGTTGCTTTTCCATTCAAGAGTTGCATAGATATTCATGGAAAGCTTCATAGAGTTTGCACATACATATTTATGTACAGATATGTACATATATGTATGTATGATGTACATAAATAATAATGCCATGCCATGCCATCCATAAGATACATACATATATGTATGTACATACAATTCGCATTTCGCATGGCAATACATACAAACCACACGCACACATGCATATGTGTGTATGTATGTTGCCATGACAGTCAAATTGGTGGCCCCAATAGAGGAGAAGTAGCTAAAGAAGAAGGAGAAGCAACAAAGACTGGAAGAGGAAGAGGCAGAGCTAGACTGAGAGAGGTGGGAAAAGGATAGGGCTAAGGAATGAAACATCTGACATAGAAGCTTGAGGAGGAAGGGAAGAGAAGGGAGAAGAAGGAAATTGGGAAGCAAGACAAGACCAAGAGATGCAAAATGATTGAACCAAAAGAAAAAGAGAGGGAAGCCAGGATTAGCTGCTAAAGTGGCGAAAGCGGAGAAGAGCTAGAAGAAAACAGGAGAAGAACCCAATAAAAAATTCTGTGAATAAAATGGAATAACAAAAAACGGGCAGGAAAAGAACGGGGATGAAAAGAAAAACAAAACAAGGGAAGGGAAGGAGAATAAACAGGTACATATGTACATATGTATGTAAATATGTAAATAGGAGAGGGCGGGAAAGGAGATAAATAAGGGCGATTGGATGATAAAACGAGGGGGTACAACCCGAAGCAGTATAATTTTGAAAAAAACACAAGAACCCTGGGAGGGGTGGGGGGGGGCCAAATTACTGCTATAATTATGATCCGATCTGATTCAGATTCGCAGCTGGAGAGGCATAGGTTTATTTATATACGCCACAATTCGTCCTTGGGGGGGAGGGGGGGGGGAAACACGAGGACGAGCGACCAATTGGTACCCAACCTAAGCTAATCCAGGCGCTCACAAACGGACAGACGGACGGACGCGGGGGGGGAGCGACGAGAGAGGGCGTCCCACACACCCACACCCAAAACCATAGGTATAAAAGGGAAGAAGAATTGGAGAGGAGATCGTTGAGAAGAAGCGGCGGGAAGAAATCATTGGAGCAGTGAAATAAAAGATGTACATGAAAATGGCAAATAAGTGGCCGAAGAAGAAATTACGAGAAGGAGTAGGAGGAGAAGCTGCAGAACCGAGGACGTAGAATGGTGAAAGAGGAGCAGCGGAAAGGGATCAAGAGAGTCTGTCTGCGAAGAACGGGAAGTGGAAATGGACTGGACTGGAAAATAAGCAGCAAGGGGTGGGCGCAGGGGGATAAAAAGCAGTGTAGAGAACACCCAAAGGGATATCCGAACAAACACGAAGATGGAAGAGCGAGAAGACCGAACCGAACCGAGCACCACACCGTCTCGTCTCGTCTCGCGTCGTCCCTCTCCTCTTCAGACCCACCATTAAATGGAAATCGAAGCGAGCGAAAGGAAACGAAGTTGGGAGCGCACGAGCACGAAGTGAAGTTGGAACGGTGCCCTGTTCAGCAGCATTCCCACCCACCCCACACACACACACACACACACACACTTCCGTTTGACTACCCACCCACCCTGCCCCTAGCAACTACCACCCCACCCCGTTACCTGTGCCACCACTCTGCCAGGCTAGATGGCTCCCGTCCCGTTCCGCCACGCCTACGCTCTGGCTCCTGCCCTGCCATTAACACACACACACACTAACAGCAGGGAAAAAGTGTAAGTGTGTGTGTGTGTGTGTTCGCGTCGCTGTTGCTGCGACACACCGCTGCAGCGCGCTGCCTCTCGCTTCGCACTACCTTTCCTTTCCCATCACGTGGCGTGTCGACCAAGCGGGGCCTCGACAGGAGACTATTCAAGTTTTGTGTCTCGACATACATACACACTAACACACGCACACACTCATACCACACTACCACACAAAGAACTCTCCCGTACATACAAACATACGGACAATTTTGTTGGTTTTTTTTTTTGTTTTTTTTTGTTTATTTGCTTTGCTGTTGTTCGCATTGCTTTTGTTCGAACACCCACCCATGCATACATACATATGTATATACATACATACATACATACAGATCTGTGTACGGTGTATTTCTCTACATTTTGTCGGAATGTGCTGGGGGTAGGTGTGAGTAGGAGGGGGAGGAGCAGGTGGTGGTTGATGGCGCTACTACCATTAATTCCTAACCTAACAATCATTGGCCTAAGCCGATGCCCATTAGGCCTCAATTATGTGGTAACTAATTATTGTGAGCTTTAAACTTATGCATACACATACCTACATACATATTTGTCATATATGTACATATGGTATAGTGACTCGATCTTATGTAGCTTTATAACTGAAGGATTTTTTTGCATAAAAAACGCATGCATTTTTATTATTTACAGTTTTGGGGGTGGGGGTGCAAACCTATTAAATATTTGTATGTAGTGACAAAAAAAAAACAATTTTTTACGCTTTAAAACCAAGGGGTTAGATAAGGGGGCGGGGTAATTGAATTATAGAAGGTAATCGATACAATGAAAATCGAATCTATCCACATTATATGCTATCCAAATGTCTCCCACATATGTACATATGTACATTATTGCATGTCCAGTAGATATAAATAAATATATATTTATTAATTGAACGTATTACGAACAGAGCAACGCAATACCTGGAATGTGCATTAATTAGTTGCTATTCAAGACTTTACAGTTCTCTTAAGCCCCCCATATAGACAGCAGGCCATTAGCAATACTTTTCTTGGTAGAAGAAAATGTTTGGCAGTTGAAATCATTTCATATGTGTATTTAAAAACTGGCGCCAAGCTAACTTATGTTGATACTTAGGGATGGTCAGCGATAGCTATTTTACATTCCGTGCGATAGGTGCTGTTAAGCGCAAAAGCTGCTGTTAAGCCAAAAGTAAGTGTTGGGCGCGTCGTTTTAACTTGAATTAAGTTGAAGGCTACTACCATTTACTACCTGAAATGTGATCGTGCTGTTTTTAAAATTTACTCTTCTTTTCATTCTAGTCTCTACATATGTTTTGTGCATTATCCGAGAGCGAGCGTGTGTATTAAAAAATCGCGTGTCTTGTGTTTGTGTGTGTGAAACAGCAGTTAGCATGATAACAAGGTTGTGTGCGTTTGCGAATAAAAATGGACTCGCCGCCCCGCTGATAAATGTGATGACTATCGATGTTAGGCACAAAATCGGCACCAGCATGGAAGAAGCGACTACTCCAGCGGATCAGCGAAATGTGGAGATAAAGGCACGGATTCCTGGCGGCAGCGAGGACTTTGTACGCCGCCTGGACATCTCCAAGCGGCTGACGGGCAGCCAGGCGGGGGAGCTCATCGTCCAGCGCGATGTCTTCTTCGAATCGCCGCTGGGCGGGCGTCTCAAGCTGCGCTACTTGCAGGCTCCGGCGCGCTCCCAGCTGGTATACTACAATCGTCCGGATGTGGCTGGCCCCAAGCTCTCCTGCTTCAACAAGATCGAGGTGGACGAGCCGGCTGTGCTGGAGAAGATTCTGGCCCAGACGAACGGCATCCAGGGCCAGTTGGCCAAAAAGCGGCATTTGTTCATACACGAGCAGACGCGCATCCACCTGGACGAGGTGCAGGACCTCGGCCACTTCATGGAGTTCGAGGTCTGCCTGCGACCGGAGCAGACCCTCGAGGAGGGCCAGACCATTGCCGAGCAGCTGGCAGCGACTTTCGGAATTCAGAAGGCGGACCTCATGACCGGCTCCTACTTCGATGCCCTGCGCAGCGGTCAGTGAATGCTTCGGCCATTTAATTAAATTGTTATAAGGTTCATTTATTCAGTGATTCCTTGTTGAAAAAACACACAAAGTAAAACTCAGGTCTGGCCACGGATATTTACAAAAGAACGAACCTGTTTTTCCTATTTTTTCCTGTTTTCCATCTCTGCAATCCGATTAGGGATCGATTTGGACTGGTTTAGACTGAGGTTAAACCGAGCATAAATGCAAAATGGTTAAAAAGACGAAGACGAACATAGGACAGAAACGGGTGGGACAAAGACATGCTGACTAAGGCTAAGGCTTCTTATAAACTAGGACGATGAGGATTACGCAGGACGATCGATGTACACGACGACACACACACACACACACACAGTCGATGTGGCCACGGAAGGAAACATCCCGCGATGTGCTGGCCATTTGGAATGATCGCCACACACAGCTCCCTCTGTGACCCTTCCATCTTCTTGCAGTTGGTTGGCTTTGATTCTGGGATTCATGCAGCCATGCCAGTCATGGCTTTCCCATGTTCGTTGACTAATTTTGCATCGTGGATACATATGTATGTATATGCGCGTGGATATATGTATGTATGTATTATGCATTTAAATGTGTATGGCGCTGGGATGTGGAGCAGCACCCCTCTAGCAGTAGGAACCGATCAGGCTGATGGAGAGGGACTCGGATATGGGATCCGGGGCCGAGATCGGCTTCCAATACAGCCAGTTGTAGCTGACTGAAAGAGAGAGCGAGAGAGAAAGAGCCGATGCACAAACAAGAGCGAGCAAGAGATAGAGAATAATACTTACGGACAAAGGACTGCGTGAGACGAATGGAGAGGGTGCGGCAGCGGTGCCGACACTCGCTGGTGGGCCGCAGGATGATGAAGCGAGTGCCCACCGCCTGGTGGACATACACATTGGGGCACTCGGTCTCCGGCAGCGTATAGGCCGGCGCCTGGGACGTGTCGATGGCCATGTAGCGCTCCAGGGCGACGCCCAGGCTGGGAAGGCGGGACGGCCGGGCAAAGATGGGGCGCAGCAGGCGAGCGGGAAGCATGCGATTGCAGCGCCACAGATTGTGCGCCTGCTGTGTCCAGGTAGGTGGATCGGCTTTTGTGTTCATGTCGCTGCTGCCACTGCCACTGTTGCTGCTGTTGAACTGGCCAAAGAGATCCTCGAGATTGTGGACACCCTGGTTGGTGGAGTGCACCCGGTAAGCATCGCGCTGGAAGATCACGTGGTTGCTGGCATAGATGTTGTAGAAGTCGCTCAGATCCATGGCATCCTGCTGGCTCTTGAACGCAAACGGCACACTGTCCCCCTCGGCCATCGTCTGGCGGCACTTCTGGAGCAGGGACAAGCCGTTGTCACTGTCTCTGTCGCTGCCGCTGACACTGCCACTGACGGTGGCATGCAGCTGGGCGCACTCATCGCTCTCAAACCAGACGCTCTCCACATTGGCGCAGGGGCCGCAGCTGAGGTCCTCCATCTGGAAAAAGGGATTGCCCATCAGACAGGACTCGTCGTAGAGCTCGGTGAGCCGAGGAAAGCGCTGGATCAGCGGCATGGTCATGCGCCGCCACATCCGCATCCCGGGATACACCGTCGACTGGACAACGCGCTAATTACAGTTCGAAGGTGAACTTTGTCCGGTGAAATGAGTTGCAGTAGCTATGTAATTACAGTTCTAGAGTGATTTTCCGTTTAAAGATTGACAACCTCCTTCTTTTCTGGTCAGAATTATAATGATCGTTTATTGTTTTACAAGCTAAGAAGCGACTTATGGAATAAAATGGAATACAATCGGAAAATGAAATGGAATGGAATGGAATGAGAATGAGATCTGCTAAATCGGCAGATCTCGCGTGGTTGACGAACCGCTGGGTAAGCGGTTGGCTCCGCTTCCGCTGGTGTCCGAACTCAGCGTTTTTGTATACAGTGAATGGGTTAATGCCCATTCAACTGTGTCGCTGAGGTTTGGGGGGCGGCGGTGTGGCCGCAGCAATGTGTGCGGTAACTCCTCCCCCCCTAGAGTGGAGAGAGGGCCACAACGGAGGAATGGCCGGCTCTACAAAAGTAGGTAGGGTTGGAGGGTGTGGGAGGAAGATGGTCTTCGGTTTATGGCAATATTGAAGGATGGCGATGAGGATAAGGATCAACGATATTGCCGAGTATAAGGCCGTGAACTTGTAGTGTGCTGCAACATCCATGGTGGTGATCTTCCCAGCGGTTGAAATGGCTTCTAAGTGCAATCTCTCTAGTGATAATGCTTTGATCGTTTTATTTTTTGATATCTTAGCAATCGGAGGAAGTAGGAAGGTTGTAATGTCCTATTTCAGGCTGAGGTATGCATCAGTCTGTCCAGGGTCCTGAATTACAAGATATTTATAATTCACGAGGACTTTATCGGGAAACCAGGAACTTTGCCAGAAACTGAAATAGAAATCACAACACTTTTTGGTTCTTTTAATTTTCAATGGTTTTCTTTATTCTTCCGTATTCTTCCGTATGATTATTCTACCCGGTTATGTTAGGTTTACTTGTACTACGACGCGGATGGTGATTTGACTGACTCTCGCGATGGCTGATTGACTGCCTCCGACGATGGCTGGTGGACTGCCTCCGACGATGGCTGGTGGACTGCCTCCGACGATGGCTGGTGGACTGCCCTTTTCTTCATGCAAGGCAGTGCCTTTTATAGATCGGCCGGCCTTCGATTTTCCCATGAATGTCTTACAGATATCTTATTTCTACTCCAGAATGTGGGAAGGGTTCTTACATAAATATATATTGCCGAATTATAGTCTGCGCGTGCAGACAGGCTGATCGGTAACAGAAGGTTACCTAATCATTAGCCCTGCAGTCAGTGTCCAATATCCCCGGTAAGGAGAGTCGGAGACTGCTGACTGGCTTGCGCATGTGGGGGTTTTGCCCGGTAATCGAGGGTTACCTAAGCAATCGCCTCCCAACAAGTGTCCAATGTCCCAGGTAAGGTGATCGGTGTGCACCGGTACCGTGGGAAAGGAATTTCGTTGGCACTTCGGGAATATATATTGTTAGGAATATTTATTTATTTAATATTATTTTAGGTACTTATTGCGTAAGCCCCTTCTGCTGGTCTCCTGTCTTTTGGCGTGTGCTGAGTTTGCATTTTTGCTGGGTGTTGATCGCTTCACCTGGGAGTAGCGTTGGCTGCGTCATCTGCTTGTGACGAACCATGGGATCCATGGTTCGTTACACGTGTGGGAGTAGAGTGTCTATTCTCTCCTCCAATTGCTGTAGTTTGCTTTGTATGATTTCGAGCGAAATTTCGAATGTTTCGTCTAATCTAAGGCTTTTTAATGTGTTTCTTATTCTGGAAAGGCAAACTTTGAAATCTTGTACATCTACGATGTGGGTTAGAATTTTATGATTCTGTGTTATATGAGCGTTTCCCAGATGAATGAATGCAAGAGGTGAGGATCCGTTGAGTCTTTCTAAAGAGAAGGACTGCGCGGCGGAATGGGTTGTTCTGGAATGAAGTAGGTTTACTAGGTGTTATTGTTTTTCCTGATTATTTTTCTTATTTTTTGTTTGTGTAGTTTTTGTTGTCTAGTGGTTAGTAATGTAACCCCTTTATCGGTTCTGACTTTGTGCAAGGAAAACCTAGGTGTAAGTTTGTTCCTCCTATTCTCTTTCCTAAAGATAACATCGTCGGGTTCTACTTGGATTGGCGGTTCTCTGTCTTCGTTGAGCTTGGTTAATCTTTGTTCTGTTTTGTTATTTAGTTGTTCCTGTATTTTGGGATATAGGTCCCTTCTAAATTCGTTGAGTTTTAACAAATAGTCATGGTGGTTGTCGAATTTTACTGTTTTTTCGAATATGTGAGTTCTGCCATGGAAAAGTTCAAACGGTATATGGGCAGTGCTAGAGTGTATTGAATTGTTATATGTTGTCACTACCTCCGAAAATATCTCCGCATGGTCAGATTGGAGTTGAAGTTCCTTTCTGCGGTTATCAATTATTCTATATAGCTCTGTGAATGTCGAATGGAGTCTTTCAACAGGTGCATTTCCCGTTGAATGTTGGAATGAGGTAATGTGAATAGCTATGTTGTATTGAGTCAGGAAGTCGGTGAACAAGTTTCCCGAAAATTCCGCGCCCTGGTCAAAGACCAATTTCTTCGGTAGGCCGAAGGTACTAAAGAATTGTGAAAGTGCTGCGATAACTTTAATTGAATTCCTATTAGTTAATGGATATGCCTGTGCGAACTTTGAAAATTTATCAATGATAGTTAAATTATTTGTATTGTTGATTGTATAGATGTCAATATGAACAACATCTAAAGGCCCTGTTGGTGCAGGTGGGGTTTGCATGAAAGGTTTGTGAGGTTGTCTATCATATTTAAATGTTAGGCAAATGTCACAGTCTTTGATTATTTGTGTAATAATTTCTTTCATGCGTGGGAAATAAATGTCTCTTTTGAGATGGTTAAGGGTCTCGTCAATTCCTCTGTGATTGCTATTAAGGTGATACGATTGGATCCTTCTCTTTTGTTCTTCTGGATCGGGAAGGTCGATTGGAAGTGATGAGCAACGACAAATGTTATACAGATTATTTCCTGTAAAATAGTTGTTGTATGCTTCTTCAATTATACAATAGACGTTGTCTGGTGCTAATATGGCATGCGTTTTGTTCAGTTTGAGAATAGTCTGGAGTATATTAGTGATTGAGTCGAACGTGTATTCTGGTTCCGAGAAGGTACGTCTTATCTTATGGGGGAATGGCGTTATTAACTGTACTGGGATTGATGGTCCGATTTGAAAAATTGTTTGGATATTGAAATAATTAAGAGGTTTTTGGACAAGTGTTATTCTCGATGGGTCTTCGTTTATGTTTAAATTTGGTTCTATTCTGCTGAGTGCATCAGCAACAACATTCTGGGATCCTTTTTTATAAACTACTTCGTAGTCGTAAGCGGCCAGAGTGGTTTTCCACCGAAGTAATTTTGGGTTTTGACCTTTTAGGTTTTCCAACCAGACTAATGGTTTGTGATCGGTCACTATTTTGAACCTGCGACCAAAAAGGTAAGGTCTGAAGTGCCCTACCGACCAAACGATCGCAAGCATCTCTTTTTCTATGGTTGAGTATCTAACTTCCGTGTCAGAGAGTGTACGACTGGCGAATGAGATGGGTCTATCGTTGGTGTTTGATCCTTGAGATAATACCGACCCTATGGCGTAATTACTTGCATCTGTAGTCAATGTAAATGGTTTAGTGAAATCTGGGTAAACTAGTATCGGGTCGTTGCATAGGAGATTCTTTGAGTAAGCTACTGCTTCCTTAAACTCATCGTCGATCACTATTGATTTCTTGCCTTTCAATTGTCTAGTTAGAGGTTTGGTTATTCTTGCGAAGTCTTTTATGAATTTCCTGTAATAACCTAATAAGCCGAGGAACGACTTAATTTCCCTAACGGTTTTCGGGCAAGGGAAGTTCTTGATTGCCTGGATTTTATCTGGGTTAGGTTTAACTCCTTCCTGTGTCACAATGTGTCCCAGGAAATCAATTTCTTTTCTGAGGAAATTGCACTTGGCTGGTTGTATTTTTAAGTTTGCAATTCGTAGTTTAGTGAACACTGACTTAATGTCTGTAATATGGCTCTGTAGCGAAGGGGAGAATATAATAATGTCGTCAAGGTATACAAGGCAAACTTTTCCTGTTAAGTCTCCCAGGACATTGTCCATAACGCGCTGGAACGTCGCAGGTGCGTTCTTGAGACCGAAAGGCATCCGCGTGAACTCGTAATGTCCGTTTTCGACGGTAAATGCTGTTTTGTTTGCGTCACGTGGGTTCATCTCAATCTGATGAAAACCACTAGCCAAATCGATTGTCGTGAAGTATTTTGTTTTCCCTATACTGTCTAATATGTCAGCTATATTGGGGATTGGGTACCTGTCTGAAATGGTTTTTTCGTTTAGTTTACGGAAATCTATTACCAATCGCCACTTTTTTTGACCTGATGCATCCGTTTTCTTAGGCACGACCCATACGGGTGCGCTCCAAGGGGAATGACTATTCTTGATAATATTCTGTTGGAGCATTTTTGAAATTTGTTTCCGAACTTCTTCTTTGTGTATAAAAGGGTATCTATATGATTTGGTGTGTATAGGGACGTCGTCTACTGTGGGAATGGAATGTTTGACAACATTTGAAAATGTCAGTTGGTTATCCTCATTATAGAAAAGTTTTCTGAACTGTTTGCAAAGTTTAACTAGGTTTTGTGTTTCCTCATCGTTCAAGTGTCCTGTTTGAATATCTAATTTCGACTGTGCATCTGTGGGCTGTGGAGCTTCTCCCGCGAACATGCAGTTCAGATACTCGTAATCCTGTATAGAGGCCGTCTCCGCTTGTAATGGTTCCTCTAGGTACAATGTTTGGTCGTAGTCTGACATGTTGCAGACTTCGAAGTGTGCAAAACCCGCAATTGCGGTATATAGTCCACCCGTGATTGATAAGTCATTATTTAAAGTTGTAGTTTCGAGTAAGAAATCCCCCTTCATTACATTTACGGGAAGTGGCAATCTGACCTTCGTGTTTAGTG